ACACACACACACACACACACACACACACCCGCACCTCCTCCACCAAGGCAGCTCCAGAGGGGGGCAAGGGAGCTTGGGAACTAGAGCCCAGAAAGGGCCTGTGGGCAACCAGGGGATCCCCCAGCACATCCGTAGCAAAACCAGTCCCGGGGTTCTTCCCGACTGGCCTTCAGCCCTCCCGAGTATCTAACCTGGGTCCGTGCTGCTACTGCCACGGCCCGTCTTCCTCTACAGAAACCACTGACCTTGGAGACCAAGCCGGTGAGCCTCCAGGAGATCCTGGCAGCCCAGCCGAACGGCTGTGTGAAGAGCGTGGCCCAGGCCTCGCAGCTGACGTTGGGGCCCGCCTGCCCCCACCACACTCCTGTACAGGTGGAGCAGGACAAGGAGCCGGCCCCCACCTGTCTGGACCACTGCACCATTGAGATCAACGAGCTGGAGACCAATGTCTGAGCCCAGGGGGCTGCCGGGCGGGCGGCGGGGAGGGGCTCAGCCCCCCTGCCAGCACTCCCGGGGCAGTTGCCACAGGCCAGGATCACAGTCTTCCACGGAGAGCGGCCCCACTCAACCCAACGGGACCCAGGCTCTCAGGGACACAGGAGCCAGCACCGCACAGAGTGAGCCTGCAGGCAGGGGTGACCCTCCCCCCTCTGGGTGAAGACTCAGAGCAAGCAGGGTCAGAACCCCATTCAAAATTCTCACTGCCCACCCCGGAGGACAGGAGAGGCTCTGTCTCTCACCAGGAGCCCCACACTCACCATGGCTCTCACTTGGCTAAAGCGAATTGCAAGGCCCTGGCTTCTGCCCCAGTGGGGTCCCTCCCAGGCAACCCCTGCCCCCCACCCCATCATGTGGCCTCAACCACACAACTCTCCCCCAGGAGAGCCGTGGCTAGAGTTTGCATGAGCCCTTGACACACCCAGTCAGGCTCCCTCTGAACAGTGGGGCAAGCTGGGACCCATGGAGGGAAGCCCAGCCTGGGACACTGGTCCAGCTGCCTGTGCGGCCCTGTGTCGCCTCCCGAATGCCTACCTGGCAAGTCAGAGCTAGGTTTTCTATTCCTTCCTGTGTTTGCAAACCCAAGGGTCGCCAAATAAAGATACGTTGTTTCTAAAGTCTGAGCTTTTTGCAGTACCTTGCGGCCGACCCTGAAGGACAAGGGGCAGCCAGGGCTCCCACCGCCTTTCCAGCAACAGGATACACAGGGGCTGGGCCACGGGGCCAGAAGGGGCCCCCTGGCTGCAAAGCCCGAGTGCACATCAGCCTGTCCCGGTGCCTGGAGGGAAGACAGTCTTGGGCACGCACAGGCCTGCCCAGGGCCTGTCTCAGCAGCCACCGCATGGCCTGGCCTGCTCCAGGTGGCCCGACCACTTTGCAGGCACAAGTCCCTACCGCAGTACAGTGTCCTCAGCCAATCTGGCTCCCTTGCTGCAGTGAGATATGCCCAGGACGTTTCCAGACTGTCTCCTCACTCCCGTCACCCCTCAGGGCTCCTCCAGAATCTTGTAGGAGCATGGGCTGGGTCACACAGCCCACTCTCGGGGTCTGGGGGAGAGGACACAGCACTGGACTGGGGAAGGGTCTAGCACCACAGAGCCCAGGAAGACCCTCAGGTGCAGGGAGGGGATGAGGGCACCTGTTTCAGCTTCCAGCTCCCGAATGAAGGCATCCTCCCCGGGGACTACCAGGGAGCCACTGCTGATGGCTACAGCCAGAGGGGCCCAGGAAGGGCCTTACCCCAGACCCTCCCTCCCACCTTGGGGCTGGGGCCATGAGAGCCGCCTGGAGGGCAGCCAACCTTGCTAAGGGCAGAGTCTCCTCGGAGCAGCCAGACATCAAGCAATAAGTCATGCCTGGTCTCTTCACCCTTCCCCGCGCTATGTCTACCCCACGGCATTGCAGCTCCTTCTAGGGCTGACAGGAGGCCAGCCCGTGCTGAGGCACATCCAGTAGGAGGGAGCCCCCTCCTCCTGGATGCCCTCACGAGCGGCCTTGCCCGTCATAGCCATCTCTTTCTGGTCTGGGAACTGGGTCCCCGCACTGCCTGTTGGGTTGTAGGCTCCCAGGGATGTCTGTTGCCTCATCGTGGGAATCTGTAAAGACCTGGGTCGGCAAGTCAGCTCTGCTGGGTCAGTTCTGCTCCTGCATCTAGGCAGGCCCCCTTCTCACCCAGTGTCCTCTACAGCACAGACCCCAGAGGAAATGACGGCCCTCCATGGGGCGCGTGCGCTGCCCGAAGCTGGCAAGCCCGTGGCTGGGACACCAGGCCCCCGCTGAGTCCCTCTGAGCCAGTGGTCTGCACACACGTCCATGTCTCTCTCCTCACCTACAACCAGACCCTGTCTCCCTGAGCTGCCCACGAGGCCCAGAACAGAACTCTGCCTCCATCCCTGATCCTAGGGAGGACGCCAGAAGGCGATCCCCTCCCCTGCCCACCCCATGCCACCGGCCACCAGGCAGAAAACATGCACACAGGGCCACAGGCTGCAGGGACAGGGATCATGCTTTTATATTAGTTTTTCTGTAACAAGAAAAATCCGCTTTGAGATTTTTATCTTTTTTTTTCTTTTTCTTAAAAAAGAATAAAAAATAAAAGGCACCCAGAACGTTCCCACAGACCCAAAGAATGAAGCCGGTGTCAGGTGAGCAGCGGTGGCAGGTGCCCTCCTGACGTTCTCTGGCCCAGCCCCACAACCTGCCCCCACCAGGCACCTGGGCTGCTGACCGCCCAGACGCTCACCTGTGTGGCCTCCGGTGGGGTGCCAGCAGAGGAGCACTAGCAGCCGGACAGGGGTGGGGGGACAGGCAGCTATCTGAAAGGTTCTCATCCACAAGGGGGGAAGTGGGGACAAAAGCCAGCTTTTGTTAGTCCCAGAGGGCGGCAGGCACCTGACCCCAAAAAGAACAGAGGTCGTCTGGTGTCTTCTCCAGGGGACGGACGGACAGAGGGACGGGGCAAAGGGTGAGCTTGTTGTGGACACTTCCGGCTAAGGGCGAGGCATTTGTCCATGGGAGCGGGTGCGTGTGTGTGCCAGGGCGGGGCGGGACTCAGGGTAGCGGGAGGCGTGTGCGTGTGGCCGCGCCGGCGCGTGTCTGGGTCGCGACCCGCTGCAGGAGGGGGCGGGTGTGTTCAGCCTGTATCTGTAGGGACGCCCCTGGGTGCAGCACCGGTGCATCTGATGGCATCTGTGAGCGTCGCCAAAAGAGGGCTTCCGGGGCACATGGCTTGCTGCAGAGGAGTCCGGCTGTCCGCTGTCCTGCGGAACACACAGACAGTCAGGGCAACCCCGCCCACTTCCAGCCTCCGGAGGCGGAGTCCAGAAGAGGCTGCCCCTGCAGGAAGGAGCTCTGGAAGGCCAGGTCACTGGGATGGGGCAGAGGCTGACCCCGGAGTCCTGATGAGCCACGGGGGATGTGAAGGCCTTTGGGTCCTGGACACAGACCTTGCTCCTGGAGCCTCAGCATGGCCACTGGTCACTCTGGGGGCCCCTCTTAGATTTCACCATGCCCACTGGGATAGATCCCTGCCGCCCCCATGCCATGACCTCACAGTCCCCAAAGGGGCACCCCACAGAAGACGGCCAGTCACCTCTGCGTAGCCCCCTGGCTCTGCCTTCACCCACCTGGCAGGGAGGAGAGGGGAGCTTCCTGCTGCCAGGCCCCACGGCACACATGCCTACCGGACACCCACCTCAGGCCCTCTTTGCCCCAGCCTCTACTTCAATTCAAACTCCTCATGGTGGCCCAGAGGCCCCCTCCCACAGCTATATAGCCCAGACTTGTGACTCACTGGAAGCTCATTCTCTGAGACCCAGCCTGACTGGACCTTGCCACCACCGTGCCCCTGCCCACCAGCCCCTCCTGGTTGCTTCCTGTCCCTGCCCAGCCTGCCCCAGCCCCTCAATACCAGCCATTCTCTTGCCCAGACACCCAACCTCCCACCCTGTCCCACCCACCTGCGCACCTTCACACCCTCCCCTGTCAGTGCGTGGGGCACCCCCACTGCATGGAGGGGAGGGACGCTGGTGGTGTGGCATTGGCAGAGCCCAGGCCCTGGGTGGCTGCCCACAGCCCTGCTGCTATGCCCCCAGCCCTCACCAAGTGCCCACACACACCAAGAACTCCTGTTTGTCTGCAGAATGAAGGGATGAAGCAGGTGAGCCAGAAAACACCCAGGTGGGGGCTGGGACAACCCCCTACCCCCACTGATGACCTACCTGGGTCAGATCCATGTCACCTCATCACTATCTCGATTCTTCCTCCTCCTCCTCCTCCTCTTCTTCCTCTTCCTCCTCCTCTTCCTCTTCTTCCTTCAAGTGGCCACGGTCCTTGGAAACGTCCCCAAACTCGAAGCTGCCTTCAATGTCCAGGACCTGCAGGTGATTCAGTCTCCGGAAGGCACTGTCCACCACAGAGCCCACGGCCAGCTTGTTGAACCTGGGGGACATCCATGGGTCACTGCCCAGAGACTGGCCCTCAGAGGCCCCGCCCCCATCCCGCCAGAAGGTCAAAGGGAGGGGGAGGGGACAGCAGGTGCCAAACGCTGGAGTCTCAGAAAGCCAAGTGCCTCAGAGCACATGCCAGCTGAGCTGCCACCACCCCCCACACCCCCCTGCCAGTGGCCAGTCCTGTTCTTCCTGGTTCAGGAAGGTGCACAGGCCCCTCCATGTACACTGCCCACGATGGTGAGTGGGCCAGCAGCATGTCGGCCACCCTCTGCCCACTCCCAGGCCTGACACCCAGCATCCAGGGCTTCTGGCTGGGCAGCCTAGCACCGAGGCCAGGCAAAGGCACACTCTGGGTGTGGGGAGGCCACTGGACGCCGCACCTCAGCATCTCTGCAGAAGCCTGAGGCACGGCAGTCACTGGCCTCAGTGTCCCCAGCTGTAAATTGGGAACCCTTTCCTGCCATGGGAGTGCCAGCCATGCTCCCAACACCAGCCAGCCTCCTGTGCAGCGTGGAACTGCTCCCCAGGACTGCCAGACCTGTCTTCTGAGGTGCCTCTGGCAGTGGGGATGGGCTGGTAGTCATGTGCTTAACCATTTGTGTCACCAGGCTACCCCGAGGCTTGTGAGCTGAGGAGATGGCGACTGAGGGGGGCGCCTGTACCATACCAGGGTCACACACAAGAGTCAGGCTACAGAGACTCTTCCCAACCTGTGGACCACTTCCCTGGAGCCCCGGGGACCCCAAGGAGGTGTGTGCAGGGGGTTCCTACCTGAGAAAGATCCCCTTGAGGTTGGGGGTGGCATCAAAGGCGTTGGCAGGGACGGTGCTGATCTTGTTGTTCTGCAGGTACAGGTATTCCAGCGACTCGGGGAGCCGCTCGGGGATCTCCGTGAGCTGGTTCCCCGCGATATCCAGCAGCTGCAGGCGTGATGGGGGCGGGGAGCAGGGTCAGGGACTCCCACCTGTGCAAAGCACTCAACAGCTTGCACAGCCCCAGCAGCCTCTGGTCTAAACCTCAGGGTGGTCCTAAGAGAAGGTGGTCTCTAGTTGCCACCAGAGAGGGGAAGCAAGCTCAAAGGGGTCATGTGACTCGATGTCACACAGTCTGGAAGGGGCTGGAACCCAGTGGGTCTGACTCGAAACCCTGCTTCTAACTGGTGCGTGGGCTCCCCAGCCTCTCCTGCCTGCAGATGGACCGTCACAGCCACAGTGTGTGAGGGTCACCCTTCTGTCTCCGTACACGACTGTCACCCCATCAGACTGCAGACCTCCAGCCTTCCACTTTCACCCCACTGGCCCCAGAGAAGCGTGGGGGTGGGGGTGAAAGTAGAAGAGCCTGCTCCTCTGAGATGCTCAGGGACATGTGGGCAGGAGCCAGAGTGGGTGGGCAGTGGGGGTGGAAGCCCCACCCCCCCATGACCCTGGTATGGCAGCCAGGATGCAGCCTCGTCAACCACCACCTGCCCAGAGTGCAGGAGGGCATGGGCGTGTGTTTCCTGAAATAGCACCTGGCTCTGCTGCCAGCTCCAGAGTCCCTCAGCTGTCTGTGTCCCCACCACGCACACCCCTCTGCCACCTTGGGACAGCCTCTGTGCTCTCCAAGCCCCTTCCTCACCCTGGCTGGCCGGGTCCAGGGTCAGGACACAGGGGGACATGGCCCCCAAGAGTCAGGAGCCAAGGGGAGCTCCAGCTCTCCCTCTTCTGGGAAGGTCTCCGACATTCCCTTCCCAACAGGGCTCCTGCCCCCCACTGTGTTCCCTCAGCATGGGGGGCGGGCAACTCTAGGCAGGATGTCTGCATTCACTCCAACTTTGCTGTGCCTGAGGGTGGGACCCACTGAGACACCCCCACCTCCATGCCCAGGAATCCAGACTGACTGCAACAGCCTGTGCCACTGGACTGGGAGTGAGGGAGCGAGCCTGGTGGGTGGAACAGAGGCGGAAGAGAAGCTTGAGTAGAAGGCAGCTGGCATGGTGGGGAGGGGGGGTGCGGAGCTTTGAAGCAGAGGGAGCAGGGAGATGCCCCAGCCCCAGCCCAGCTCACCCAGGCACTGGGATGCAATTCAGCAATCACCACTGTGGGGGCGGGGGCTCCTGAGGGGAGGTGACCCTGAGGCAAGCCTAAGTACAAACTCCAGGAGGAGGAGTCTTGTTCCCACAGACTCTCCTTCTAGGGCTGCATCCAGCACAAAGGGCTTGGGGCAGGCGTGAAGGAGAGGCCTGAATGAGCAAACGCGTGTGTCCGGGTCGTGGCAGCTGGGGCACAGCTGAAGCCAGGACAAGGGCTCTGGCCTGCATTCTCATGACAAGGATGGGCCGTGGAGCTCCAGTGCCGGAGCAGGAGATGGACAGAGGCTTTTCGAAATAGCCCCGATGGCATATGGAGTGCAGGAGGGGGGAGCTCCTGGGGCACCGCAACGCAGGCGGGACCTGGGGGTGGCCAGGTCTCGGGTGTGGGCAGCAGGGGGGAGAGAAGAGAGCGACAGAGAGAAGGGAGGGCAGCAGGCCAGGGCTGGGTGAGGTTGGGCAGTTGGGAGTGGGCAGCGGGCTGAGAGAAAGGGAAACTCGGAGCAGCTGGATGGATGCCACCTCTTCTGTGAGTTAGAAAATGCAGCAGGGGGGGCATAGGTGGAGGTGATTGGGACCCCGTGAGAATGGGTGTCATTGCACCCCTAGGTGCTCATCCAATCAACCCCCAGCAGAACATTCATTTGGAGCTCAGGGGTGCTGAGTCCAACAGTGAGTAGGTACGCTGCTGGCCCTGCCCTATCCTGGTGGGCGGGGCCAGCGGCCAACCAATAAACCCAAACCAAACTCATGATGTCCCTATAGGACAGGGTAGGACTGCCACTCTGCCACCGGGATTGCTGAGACTGCTACTCTTTATGGGAGTCGAAAGCCTCCTCTTTTCCCTGCGGAGCGGCTGGTGGTTTCAAACTGCTAACCTTGTGGTTGGGAGCCCAACTAGTAACCACTACGCCACCAGGGTTCCTCACCCACTGATCAATGACCTAAAAGCCAGTGAGGATGGAAAGCGCAAAGCCGGTCTAAGAGGCATCTCAGAAACAGAATCGTGGACCAGCAGGAGGACGTGGTGGTACCACAGGCTGTGGCATGGCAATGACGGGACAGAGCGAAGGAGCTGGGCCAAGACCACAGGCCGAGGCAAGGAGACCATGAGGCAGGACAGAGACGCAGTGCTAAAATATGACACTGGGAGGCAGAGCAGCAGGCTGGCTTCCTGCCTCAGGGAGGCAGAGGCTCAGAGACCATGTGGCTGAGAGCCGAAAACTAGAGACTTGGCTGCTGGCTGAGGAGAGGTGTCGCTGTGGACCAAAGCTATAGCCTCACTGTTTATTGATCTTGATGTGAAATAACCTGTCAAGTTTCCTGATATGCCTCCACTACTGGGGGAGGGGAGGAAAGCAGAGGGATTAAAACGTAATACCTTATCAATTGAGCTCCCTTTTGACTCAATGTAAATGTGCTCTAGGGTTGTTTTGTTTGTTTTTTTAGTTTTTAATATCTTCTGCTTTCTTCTTTCTGTTTTACTTTGTTATTATTGTTAGTTGGTTGGGTTGTTTTTTTATGCTTTCCTGTATATCAGCAGTTCTCATCCTGTGGGTCGTGACCCTTTTGGGGGTCAAACGACCCTTTCACAGGGGTTGCCCAATTCATAACAGTAGCAAAATGACAGTTATGAAGTAGCAACAAAAACAGTTTTGTGGTTAGGGTCACCACACATGAGGAACTGTTTTAAAGGGTCGCGGCATAAGGAAGGGTGAGAACCACTGCTGCCTATGAAATCCAGCATAGGAAAGTACCTGGATTAATGGCTCTTAGGGGTGTGGCAGGGAAGGTTTGGAGAGGGGCTGTCAATGGAAGCTAATGAGTATAAGAAAGAAGATGTTCCAAAATTGATTGCAGTGATGATTGTACAACTCTTCTTAATGTGAATGAACAACTGAGTTGAATACCGTGTGAATTAAATGCCGATAAAGCTCTTCAAGAACAAACAGACAAAGTCAAGCAGAGGAAGGCAGTGGGCGTTGGGGGAGGCAGTCCTGGGGAGGGGGCACCTGGGGTCAAAAGCTGGGGGAAGAGGGGACAACCTTGGCAGCCATGCTCCAGGGGCCTCCTGTCATAGGTGTGGTGGTGAAGGCTGGGCAGCAGAGGGGACGGGGCCACCACCAGGGTCCCCACAACTCCACCCCTGGTCTGCAGCCCCTGGCCCGCCCTCCCCGGTATCTCTGGTCTACCCTGCATGAGTTGGGCTGGTTTCACTTTTAACCAGATGCTCAGGCAGCCCCGTGGCCTCTGTCCCTGGTCACGCCCAGAAAGCCTGGACCAGAATCCTCCGCATCAGTCTAGCCTTTCGCACACTGGGGAGAACTTCCCAGTGACCTGGGCCAGTATTCTCCAAGTCCTCATCCCTGCTCCGCAGGTGGGTGAGCTTGACACTGCTGTGGCCATCTGTCCTCTCACACCATGACCCCATCACCTCTACCTTTACCCCGCCCCCGAATCCTCAGTAGGTTGCAGCTGCAAGCAGGGCGCCCAGCCTGGCCACACTGACTACACGCTGCTCAGAGGCCTGTCCTGGCAGGCCCTTCTGAAAGGAGTCCCCACTGACCTAGGCAATGCCTCCCTCCCCCCTTCCTGCCCCAGCATCTCCCTACCCAGAGGTGTTGCTGGTGCCCAGGTCCTTGTGGGTAAATGAACTCAGCTTGACCTTACCAGCTTAACCTCCCTCTGCCCACCACCACCCCCATGCCCCGCCCCCGTGACCCCATCCTCTCCCCGTGGGTGGGTGTGGGGCAGCCAGACCAGTAGTCCCTGCACCACAGAACCCCGTAGCCCTCCGACCACGCCTCATACCTGCAGACGAGCCAGGTCCGCCCAGGCGCGCGGGCCCAGGGCCCGGCTGCGCAGCCGGTTGCCCGTGAGGTAGAGTTCGGACAGCTGGGCCATGCCGGCCAGCGCCCCCCGCGCCAGGGCGACCAGCTCGTTGCGCTTGACCTTCAGCACGTGCACGTTGCGGGGCAGGCCCGGCGGCAGCGTCTGCAGGCGGTTGCCGGACAGGTCGAGCGAGCGCAGGAGCCGCAGCTTGCGGAAGGCATCGCGGTGCACCTGCGCGCTGGTGATGCGGTTGTAGCTGAGGTTGAGCTCCTCCAGGAAGTAGGTGGTGGCGAAGTCGTCGCGGCCGATGCCAGCGATCTGGTTGTGCAGGATCATGAGCGTGCGCACGCGGCGGGGCAGCCCGCGGGGCACGCGCTCCAGCGCGTTGTTGTACAGGTGCACCGTGTGCAGCTTCTTGAGGCCCTGGAAGGCCAGCGGGTGGATGCCGTGCGCCCGCAGCTGGTTGCTGTGCAGCAGCAGGTACTCGAGGCTGCGGATGGGGGTGAGCACGTCGGCGTCCACGCTCCGGATGGCGTTCTTCTCCAGGTGCAGCAGCACCAGGCTGCGCGGCAGCCCCGCTGGCACGCGCGACAGGTTGTTGCTGGACAGATCCAGGTACTCCAGGCTGGAAAGCTTCCTGGGGGAGGGCGGGAGGAGCAGCTTAAGGCGGCTGCCAGGAGCCCCCACGGCACCTGCCCCTACTCCTGGGAAGGGCCTGAATGCACCCCAGCTCTGCCACTCACTGACAGGGGTCCTCCAGGAGCCGCTGTTTCATCGCGGGGTTGATTCCACGATAAAAGCCGGCCTCGTTTGAGTGCCTTTTGCTTCGCTGGACTTGGCACATGCTTCGGATTTTTACCAACTGAAGTTTGTGGCACCCCTGCGTCGAACGCGTCACGCAGCACCATCGCGTCATGTCCCCGTGTCACACTGTGGTCTTTCTCACAAGAGTTCGCACTTTTTCATAATGCTAGGACCCGCGAAAAGATGGCCTGCGTGTGGCCATCCAGGGGACGCTCGCTCTAGAGACCAGGAGGAGGAGCTGCGCCTGTGGACTTCTGAGCTGGACCTCTTTCCAGAGCAAAAGACTTCATCTTTCTCCCAAGGCCAAGGAGTGGCTGGTGGGTTTGACCTGCCACCCAAGGTGTCACCACCACACCCCCAGCTCCTCAGTAGACTGAGGTATAGTATAAACATGACTGTCACAGGTACTAAAAACCACCTCACTGCCATCGAGGTGAAGCCGAGACGTATTGCCACCCTTCAGGACTGGTTAGAACGGCCTGCCCCCTGTGAGTTTCCGAGACTGTAACTCTTTACCAGAGCAGAAAGCCTCATCTTTTTTCCTTGGAGCCATGGTGGTTTCGAACTACTGACTTGAGGTTAGCAGCCCAATGCATAACCACTACACCACCGGGCTCCTTTCATATGCACTAGGATTTTTTTTTAAGCTGGCTGCGGGGAGGGGGGGTGCGTCCCTGACTGGCTTTACTGCTGTGGTCTAGAATGGAGCAGAGCCTGCGGTCCCCCTGAGGTGATCATCCTGTGCATTAGCTTAGGGCACTCCTAACACCGGTTTTTTGGGGGGTTTTTTGGCACATAGAGGTCTGTTTGAAAACCCGTCGCTTACGTACAATCTCCTCCCGGTCCTAAAAAATAAAAACCCAGTTGCTTTCCTCAAGAAAGCATGAGTTTTCATGTCCTGCCAAGAGTAGGTCCTGGCAAAGGCTTCCTTGCTCTGTTGGAAGCCTGGCAGGCCTTACCTATCTCTGTCCCTCACCTGGTCTTGGGCACAGGCCTGTCCACCTATCCCCGAAATCCTCACTGTTTTTTCTCCAGGCAGTCTTGCCAGGAGAAGTGGGAGGGGTGGGGTGGGGGTGAGG